TGGTTTTTTTCAGTAGAGGGGCGGATTGTACCATCCTCAATAACGTACCCAAGAAATTGTATTCTTCTTTTCAAAAATTGGCATTTCTTAAAATTGATCTCCAAACTGTATTTTTTAGCTACTTCTGAAATGCATTTTAACTTTTCTAAACCTTCATTCTCGTTTCATGCTGGAATAATAAAATTGTCCGAGTAAGAAACAACAGTGTCATCCCGAATTAAATCTCTAAGCACATTATAAATAAATCTTTGGAACACGCTAGGCGACATGCATAAACCAAAAGGTGCTTTTAGAAATTCATACAAGCCTGCATGAGTAATAAATGCCAAATATTTAGTGCAGTTTTCCTCCACCGGAACATGAAAAAAAAACATTTTTTAAGTCTAATATCGAAAAAAAACCTTTGCTTCACCCAAATGATCTAAAACCTCTTCTGCTTGTGCAATGGGAAAAGAATCCTCAACTATTTTTTTATTTAATTGCTTGAAGTCAACACATATTCGTGTCTTGCCCAAATTTTTTCTACACAAAACAATTGGCAAAGTATATTCTGAACACGATAGATTTATAATCCTCTATTTGATCATCAACAATTGTTTGGTCAGCAAAAGGAATTCTCCCCGAATGCTGAGAAACTGAAATTTCATCTTTAATATTACTTTCATTTTTAAGTCTGTACTGCGCGGCTTTTCTAGCGGTTTATACTCATTAATAAGAGTTTAAACAGTATTGTGTAATCCTTTATCCTTAACGAGTGATAAATCTATTTCGCTGTCTCCCTCAATGGCTGCAGAAATAAAAGACAAAAAATTCCTTTCCGAAGAGACGGAATCATTTTCATATTGCGTAATCATCACCCCATCAGAACAGATGTCAGTGAATAATTTTAGACACGGCGGTGGCAAAACGCATTCTGTTATTAAGTCATAAACCATCGATGCTTCTAGCTTTATTTGTTTTTTGCTTTCGCATAAAGAAAAAATTAATTGAGCCATATTTGCTTTAACCACGTGATTAAACGAACTTTTGAGTTCTGTTAATCCAGATGGTATGTTATTCGGAAAAAGAGATTTCTTTACAACTATCAATTCACTTCCAGAATCTATTAAACATTTTACTTTATTACCATCAATCAACAGTTCAATAAATTCTAATTTATTTCTAGCTGCATTTTTCGATAAAATCTTTAATCCAGATACCTTTTTTGGAGACGAATTCTCCTCTTTTCCCAGCCATTTGGAACTATTTCTCGCAAAATGAAACAATTCCCCTTAACTCCCACAAACATAGCAAAACGTTGTGTTTTACTACTATTCTAATTTACAAGCTTCCCTGAATCCTTGAAATTGCTCTGAGCTTTTCTAAGATTGTTTTTGGAAAAATTAAGCTTTTATTTTCTGGAGTTTCGATTCGCGTGTTACGGTATAGCTAAGATTTACCCTGGATGAATAAAAAAATCACATTCTTCCCCATTATTAGGTGGACCAACTTTGATCCTCCCGAACACTTATTCAAACATTCACGCGGTGTCGGCTGAAATTCTTTCAATATTAGTGCTTTTAATTTATCATAATCCGCGATCTCTTGTTCAGAAACATACATTAAAACATTACTACATTTATCACCTAATAAATTAATCAACACTTCTGATTTTAACTCAACTGGTGCGCTTTTAGTAGTAAAAGCTTTCTCAAGTGACCGGTTTCTGGGGTACAGCTATAGTTAGTGTTTTGATGCTTTTAATGATATTTTCAACACTAGTTTGCACTATCACCCAATAATGATTGTGATTTTTAATTTTCTAGCTCAATCTGCTTCTCAATTTGAGTTAATTTAAGACGGTCAATCTCTAATAGATAGTGTTAATTACTAGTTGTTGACGTCCGATCCTCGGCGATCAATTTAATAACGCTATGAACAAATTCAACATTCATTTTGAAGGCATCAGAATTTTGGATAATTTTTTTAATGCCAGCTTTTTTAGCATTTTTTGGAACAGTTTCTCCAATTTGTTCTGCAATTGCTATTAAATCACTTTTCTTTAAATTATTTAAGAAACTCATTTTAAAAACGAAACAGAAATATCACTATCTTCAAGAAATATATAAAGCAAAGTTTTCACAGTACCTACTCTGAAGTATCCACGTATCCCGTACAGGCCCCCAGATTTTCTGTGGTCGGGGAGTTGAAGATGCTATTGTAGGGTCAATAAACAATTCCGTTTTCCACACAACAGGCATTTAATGAAAATAACAGAAGAAGGTTACATGAATGTGCCGTTGTATACAAACAAAATTCTGCATTAATCACTCTTGCAGATTTTGAAATAGCAGCTTAGTGCCTACTCCCACTTGCTGTCTTACATGCAGTTTAGTTACCACCTTCACGTGGAAACATACAGTTCTATATTTAACACCTTCACGTGTAGACCTGCGTCTTACCACCTTCTCTTGGAGACATCTTACCACCTTCACGTGGGATAGATGACTGACTGTCTATATGTCATACTCCTCTTTCACCTCGCTCACGCTGCTGGCGCATAGGTGAGGTCCTCTGGTGTCTTTGTTGCACTTAACTGTCACTATATAACTGTATATATATTTTTTTCTTAAATCTGAGTCCAGTGTAAAGACAATTCTTTCTATTGTTCAGTTTCACATGACACCAAAGAATATTGATAAAACCACCTGGAGTCAAATCCATGCGCTGGCTGCATGAGTGTTTACTTGGGTTACATACATAACTGAATGGATGCCTGCATTGCTATTTCGCTACCGACTTATCGCTAAAGCATAATTTCATCTCGTTGGTTTTTCAAACACAATTTTCTAAAATGAATGATGCCTTTTCTTTGAAAATATTCTCGGTAAAGTGCAGAATCGCTCACTTATTTGTTTGCCGCTTTTTACAAGGGACAATTTAATTTTTGTCAATTTTCTTTTACTTTTTAAGTGAAAATTGGTCGATGTGTACGTAGATAAAGTCAAGGGTGTGTGCAGTGCCATTTTTGTGCAATTCTAGAGTTTTTTTTTGTTTTTTTTTAAGTGAAAATAGGTCGATGTGCATATGGATACCGAGTATGTGCAATTCTTAAAAACGCGTCAAGCAGTGGGTGATTCTGCACTTTATCAAAATTCTATTGCCGACTTTTCGTCATGGGCAATTCCCAAATTGTTAAATCCATAGGATATCAAAAAAGGATTTAAAAATTAAACTAGTATGTCAATGGCGTCTTAAGAAATATAGAACTATATAAATTTACGCAATTTGAAATCAATGCGTACGCTAGATTTGGCATGCTGTTAAATTGCTAGATTTCGCGCTTTTGCGCATACAGTTTTGCTGCAATTTTTTTACGGCCCTCAAAACCGAATAGTACCTCTTTTTGTTAACTGGTTTATCCTCCCATTATTTTCTCAAATTCTGCTGCCCAGGGCCCCGCTAAATTCTAAAATTTTTGCCTCCTTTAAATTCTGCTGCCATGTGCCTGTCCTAAATTTTACAAAATTTGCTATCCCTAGATTTTGTTACTTGGTGCTTCTCTAAATTCTAAAAATTTTTGCCACCAGCCCTGACCATATATCATTCCATACTTATTTTTAGTGCTGATATTACTAACATGGGATTAGCAGATTCTTTTACACATTCTAAGTATATAAAGTTTTTAAGAATAACAAAATCTTTAATTAAATCCACAATTTTTTTAATTAAGAGAATTTGTCGAGGAAAAAATTGCTTAATTAAGAAGAAAGAAAATTGTTTTTCAAAGGTATATTGCTGAAGCATTAACAGATTCAGAGATAAAGCAGACACTAATAGGAACACTAGTTTGTTTATTAAAGCAAATAAACTTAGAAAAGATACTAAAGAGAAGAAAACTGTAAGTTAGCTAAAATGTCTTGAGAATTTTCAAATTAAAAAGATACATAAATATTTTGTCGTATGTATAGTTTTTAATGTGTAATTATCCTAATATCATTGTAGAGTGAATGTCATAAATTATATGTGTAATTAATTATCTATTATTTTAGCTAGTTCCTAGATTATGATCTTAATAGTGCTTTTTTAAAATGAGTATTAAAAAAAAATTCCAATAGTGACTATGTTAACCTATAACAACTAACAGTATCTAACTACCTAATTTAATTATTCACTTATTTCCTTTATACTACTGTCAGAACTCTCATTAAAATATTCAATTTGCATTATAAATATGTTTCAAATGTATTCATTAATTCAGTTATTTTATTATTCGTTTCATTCTTCTTCTTCTAATGTACATGTGTTCCATAAATGTTTTCATAACATCTTTCATGAACTTTGAATTACTCACAGACAATAAGAAGCTTTACTACCATAAGATAAGAAGATTTAGTTCATCTACCATGAGAAAAGTGGCCTTGCCTGTTAGTAGAAGCTCATTTCACTGCAGAGAAAAATGCATAAAGCTCATCCAATGTTACAGATGAGTGAATCTAAATTCCATTGTTACAAAGACTGGGCCGTTAGTCCCAGTTGAGCTAAAAGTAAGATACTGGGATCATCTGACACCACGTGATGTAAGCATAGCCAAGTCTTGTTGGACAAATTATAGTTTCTTACTTCCTCTTTAATTCATTTAGTATTTTCATCGAACACAGATAACCCATTAGCTCAGTATTTTTGCTTTTATTTATGCCATTTATTTCAACAACAGCAAATATTCACTAGATGCAATATGATTTAGCAATGTTGGTTTATTCTTCAAAATTGCATCGCAGGTCAAAAATAGATGATTAGAAGTTTTGCTAGCAGAAAAGCGTTACACTTAATTTCAAGAAATCTGTTCCTATTATCTTTTCTTTCTTGTAATAAAAGATATTAGCTACTTGAATGTAACTTTTCTGTGGTCTATTTAAGCTCTGTTTTTTTTCAGTTTTAATGATTCTCAGTCTTATCATGCAGATTTCATTTGCATTAGTCAATGTCTTAAATTAATTAGGCATATGTAATATTTTCAGGATTTGGAATCTTGATATTATGAGAGATGACGTAGGTGACATAAGTAAACTGACTGCAGTTCAGGAAGAAAAACGTCTGCAAGAAAGTTCAAAATTAAGCATTTACTGCACTGTTTCTCTCCATGAACAAATGGTAACTTTCATGTTTTGTTTCAGAAATATGTTAAATTTGTGCTTAAAAATTAAAAAAAAATGTTTTAAAATAATTTTGTTTGAAATAGGCTTTGGCAAATTTTTTTTGCATTAATTAAGTATCCTTATATAATTGATTAATGTAAAAAATAATTAATGCCATTATCAAGCAGCTCTTATCATTTAGGCTCAAATACAGTGGACTATCAATTTTACTTGGACTGTTTGAAATATTTGTAAAATTGAAAGGGTGTAAATGTGAATGGTGTTAAAAAATGAAGTAAAAACAATTTATACTCAGCTTAGTTTGTTAGAGATTCATTAAAAACACGCTATTTCATAGTTGCATTTTGAAAAATGCATATATATTTCTACAGAATTAATCCCAGGAAGCAAACAAATTTTATAGTTTTGACAGTCATTCTATTGCTTAAAATTAAGTGTTGGAATTATCTCCTAGCTTTTACTCTTCAGCTTCATGTCCAATACAATAAGTTTCATCTTTGGATATCTCTTCCAAATTATAGGTTCAGGAACCTAAATGCTTTTGTGTCCATGTTCTTGCCTTAAGGCTACTCATATGCATCAGAACTAGACTATTGCTTGATTCTTGTATGGCAAGAGCATTCATTATCTCTATCATCCCAACACTGGATCTCAAAATTAGTTGGTATTATTGTTTAGTATACACCATTCCATGCACTGGTTGACCAATGCACACCATGTGCACTGATCTTTTATTTATTTATTTTTGAAATTCCATATACAGAATAACATTTTTCAAAGGCAGTTACACATATTTTTGTTTAAAACTAAGCATATCACTCTGATCAGTATACTTGAAAGTTTAAGTAGCATTTAGCCAATAGAATCCATCCTGATTGCCTGAAGCTAAGTAACTTCGTGAAAAACAGCTCTCTCAACAATTCTTCTCTCACAGGCCATTAATGCTTACTAGGAAAAAATAAGGCATCATATTTTTTTATATTTTCCAGTGAATAAAAGATGGAGCTTCTAGTCAACTTGTTATGATTGTTCTAACTGATATTATAATACAATGCTCAACTTGTTCCTGTCTCTACATGTGCTATCTAAATAACACAAATAATTTGTGTGGTGAAATTGAAAAATAAATTACTTTTATTCGTAGTAAAAAATGTCTGGTCCGTAAACAGATATTTTAGCTTTTTTCATTCATGAGTGGCAGATTTCATTACTCCAGTATTCGTCAATATTACTTCAGCATTTATTCATGTACTTTGCAGATATTTAGGCATGTTGCTAGTTGAGTTTTTGCAGCCAGGTATTTGATTATGTAAAATCTTTCACTGCCATCTGAGAGGCAGGATTGGCTTGTTCCTTCAAATTCTGTTGATAGAGTTATTTACATTTCTTTTTTTTTCATAGCAAGCAACTAATGTTTTCTCTACATCTTAGAATTTCATTTCCTAAAGCATTATCATGAAAATGAAACTCTGCTGCTGCTGTTGAACTTCCCTACCTCATAAAACTTCACTTCCAAAAGTAATTTATGAAAGTATGACTTTGCCACATAATTAATGAAGATGAGTGCATTAAATCGAGTGCAAGTGCTTCATATATTGTCTCTGCAGGTGGGACTTTTCTGATTAATTTTTATAACCCTGTCAGAATTTCTACCATGTTCAATAGTTTATATATATAGTACAGATTGTTTTTCTTAGGAGTACAGCCTGCTAATAGATTAAATTTACCTTAAATCTGATCTGTAATAATTTGTAAAAGAGCCTATGTAATTAAGAATTCAACTGCCTATTGAAATGGTAAGGCTTTTCCATGAAAGTAATGTAAATTTTCAGTGTAATTCTAACTAGTTTTGAATAAAATTAATACTTTTGTTATGAAACTTAATATACAGTAAAATCCTGACTATTCAGAAAGTGTGGGAATGCTGAATTTTGGATAGTTCAGTGTATAAAAATGGAATTCATGTCAAGTCAAATGAATATGAAAAATGTCTGCTCTAAAATTATAAAAATGATTATCATTGTTACCAACTTGAATATCAAAAGCCTATATTTAAAATTACATAAGATTTTTTAAAAAATCAGACATAAAAGCTGGCATATTTCGTAGGCCTTAAACCTGAAAGTAAAACATCTGATCTGATTATGAAATCCCATTGAATGTGAAAGTTGGTAGAGATGTTGGAGATCATTCAAGTAGAAATATGAGCAGACCTTTTTTTTTACTTAGGTAGATTATAAAGGTATACAGTAGTGGATATAGCATACAAAAAACTTAAATTGCTGATCATAATTTTTATGTTATGTCACCATTATTTATCCATTTTCAAAGTTGCGCATCATGACTTTTTTTAATGCCCAGAATTTGTAACTTTGAAAATACTACTACACTTTATGCTGTCCTAAATATTAAATATACAGTCAAAAGTCGTTAATCCGGAATTGCCGGGACTTCGGCGATTCCAGATTATCGATTTTTCCCGATTATAGATCATCAGTTTAAATCTGGTAAGATGGCATGCAGAAATTATAAAATTAAAAATATGAAAACGTAATTTAGAACTAAAGAACAATTATGATCTAAAGGGTATCAAAATTTACTAAAAAAAGCTTAATATTTATTTGTTTACTTTATTAAACATTTCTTTCAATGTAAGTTGTTTGCTTCGTTTTATGTGATAATACTCTTTAATTCTATAAACAGACATAATTTCTTGTTCAGTTACAGAGTTCCGCTGTTCAAGTCCTATAATTGCTGTGTCGAGAATACCGACTAATTTGTCAAATCGAAATTTTTTCATTTTCAATAACTTCTGTGTCACTTTCTTCACTATTGGAAGCAAATTATAATGACGAGGAATTTGATTTAAATCATATCAAAGACGGAATACATCGAGATGAAATACTACATTTAGTAAAGAATTATAAGCCAAATAAAATGAAAACATCTGCCCTGAAGATGAGGATAGTGCTGACAGTTCAACTTCCAATTTATTGCGCGCCCGCCGCGGCGTTGAAAACATCTGCCCTGAAGATACGGATAGTGCTGACAGATCAACTTCCAATTCATTGCGCGCCGTTCCCCCCCCCATCCCCCGCTTCAGAGCAGCGTGAAATTGATAAACAGATTTTGGAATGGTTAGGTCATTTTTTGCAGCAATTCAACTTTTGTTTAATGGACTTCGAAACATACTTTCGCTTTGGTAGATCTTTTACATATTGGTAAATATATATCGGAAATTCTATTTGACATAATCGAAAGTTCAAGCTTACTTCTATAAAATTGCTCTAACAGTCTGCAAAAAATAACAAGCCGGATCCAATTCGAAGATTAAGGAACAACGCAATCTGCAACATTAACTGAATTAGATAATTTTAGCTTAGCTTATACCGTCTGTTATACATTAAACGCGCATGCGTAAACGTATTTTGCGCACGCGCACACACCTATTCACAGCCGTAAAGGTCTTACGCACATGCGTCACGCAGAAAGTTTGTAGCTTTGAGATCTGGATTATAGATCATTCCGGATTATGGGTGTCCGAATTAACAACTTTTGACTGTACTTTACTAAATATATATATTTTTTAAATGCATTCTTCCAATTAAGTTGTGATGTCATGCTAAATCACTGGTTTCACAACAAGGTATCCACATTAACAGTATCCAAGCTCTATAATGGAGTTGCAATCTCTCATTTACTAAATTTTTCAGGGCTAAAAATATTTCTAAAATTCTAAAATATTCTGGTTGTTTGAGCTTTCCAGTTAGTTGAATAGTTTTGCTTTTATTGTACTTAATTTGAAAATTTAGTGAATGTAGTATGCTTCTCCAGCATATGTTATTTGTAGTAATGTAAATATATTCTTCAGCTTTCTCTATTTTATTTGAATTATGCTTATGGATTCATTTTAAAATTACATAAGATTTTTTAAAAAATCAGACATAAAAGCTGGCATATTTCGTAGGCCTTAAACCTGAAAGTAAAACATCTGATCTGATTATGAAATCCCATTGAATGTGAAAGTTAATTTGAAAATTTAGTGAATGTAGCATGCTTTTCCAGCATATGTTATTTGTGGTAATGTAAATGTATTCTTCAGCTTTCTTTATTTTATTTGAATTATGCTTATGGATTCATTATAAATTTTAAAGTTGAGACAAATCTTAAGTATCTTCATCAGTATAGTGTATACAGGGTTCGTACGGTCCTTAAAAGTCCTTAATTTTTTCAAAAATGATTTTTGGTCCTTAAAAGTCCTTAATTTTTTCAAAAATCGATTTTTGGTCCTTAAAAGTCCTTAATTTTTTCAAAAATGATTTTTGGTCCTTAAAAGTCCTTAATTTTGGCCAAAATGAATAAACGGTCCTTAATTTTGCTCATTTGACATTTCTTATCATTTCTAATGATTGCCATTCATTCTATGTGTGAATTGCTATTTCTCATGAATATGGAATTAAAATTGCAAGGCTCTTAACCAATCTGTTGGCGGATTTGAGTTGCAAACAATAAAAAAAAATTAATTAGCCTACCCGGACGAATGAAAGTATCGGTGTCTGATTGGCTATTCACCCAATCTTTCGAAACAAATGTTATCCATAAATTTAGTCAGATTGTGACGAAAGCGTGAAGCCGGAAGTTCTTTAAGAGGCGAAAGTGATGATGAAGGAGCACGAGAAAAAAAAAGGGGGGATTCTGAAAATATTTGCCAAAATTAGAGCAATCGGTTATTCTACGCTACGCAAGAGGTTATTCTACGCTACGAGAGTCGACAGCAAGTTGTGGGCCGCCAGATGTCGCTGCTAGTAAAAAACAGGTCTGCCCGACATCCTATATTCTCTGAGTACGGAAGTTGTCGAAAGCGCGTGAAAAAGTGTTGCCGCGTCGTCAATCAGGGTTGTGCAGTTGACGTACTAAGTAGACAATGGCTTTGTATGTGTTTTCGCCGCTGATTTTTTCATATTTAAACGAAGAATACGGTCGTAGATCTCTGAA